CTGAGACACCGATTCACTCAGCACAGAGCCGCCCTGCTGTTCACACTGAGACACCGATTCACTCAGCACAGCGCCCCCCTGCTGTTCAGAGCTGAGACACCGATTCACTCAGCACGGAGCCGCCCTGCTGTTCATAGCTGAGACACACTGATTCCTCGTCACAGTGCGGCCCTGCTGTTTACGGAGAATAAAGATATCCCACACCCGGTGTTGGCTAGCCGTAAGGCGTTTTTAATGGTCAGGCTGAAAATGAGGGTGAAAACAAACAGCAGAATTATATTCCTGTCTCCAGGTTGCACTGGAAAAGGTGAAGCCTGTTGCTCCCTACACTGCTGGTTCGTCTTGGTTAAACTTTTATGTGCTGGTCCTGTTCCAGGCTGTCATTACCGGTGTGTTAGCAGGACTCCCCAGATGGGGGCTGTCCTGGGCCTTGTTGTGGAGCAGTGCCCCTGGGGGCTGACCAGGCCTGGGGAGGTGTTGTAATTGTGTGGAACGAGCGGAGTGGCTCTTGTTTGGACCGGAGGCATACGGATTCACTGGGAAGAACTCGGAGCGCGACACTGAGAATATTGGACGCGGCTCTCGGAGAGCGTGCCGGCGGGCGTCCGCTGAGTCTGCGGTCGCAGCAGCTTCCCCTCGGCGTGCCCGGAAGCAGAGGTCCAGCGGGCGGCGTGCCCAGCTGTGCCCCAGGACACAGCCCCTGCGGTCGATCGGGGGTCTGGTACTCCCGGCGTGCGGGATAATTCTGTGTCCCGGCCGGAGGAGGGGACACGTCTCTCTGGCCCCGCCGAGCTGCCCACGCGTGTGCGGGTGACGCAGAGTCGTCTGGAGCTCCGAGGGTTCGGCTTTCGTTGGGGACCGCGCCTCAGGAGCGAGCGCGCGCCCCTCTGTGCCGGTTTCCACGGGGCGTCTCAGCCCCCCCCGCCGCCTCTGGAGCTGCGTGGAGATGAAACCCTGGAGCGGCGCGGCTCAAAGTCTCTCCCCTTTCCCCACTTCACTAGTAATCAAGCGAAGTCTTGTGAAGGCAGCTCCACCTGTCAGGCGCATCCATACCGTTCTGGAATGTAAAAAGACGACGCTTTGTCATCTGTTTAAATTGATATTGTACTTTTCGCAGTGACAGCTAAAAAGACCCACAGGTGCCATATAGAGCAGTGACTGTGTTGTCATATTTCATTTAGGCATCCCTCTGCAAAGCCGTAATTACCTAATTAGCTTGTTAATTAGCAGATTAGCATTTCTCTATACTGATAGAATGCTTTGCAGAGGCACGATGGCTGGAATTTATGTTTCAGGATGAGAAGTTTCACGTGCGTGTGGTCTTTATGACCCTCTCTTGTGACAGCACCCCCTGGGGGTCTGACAGGGGTATATTGAGCACCGGAAAAAACCTGTAAGGAGCTGGTTTTTGTCTTTATTCCTTTCTATAGCTCATTTACTGTTTACTAGCAGGATTGAATTAGCTGTGTTTTTTTGTGTTCGGCTTATAGGCGTTTGTGTACTAAGCCGTTGCTGATGAGCCGGGTTGGGTTTCTAGGTGTGATTTTCGGCGTCGAGCTCCTGGTGCTGTCTGTGGCGTTGGGAGTGTGACGGCGCGGCTGTGGGCTCTAACCGGCCGGTCCCGGTCCAGTCGCGCACGTGCCGTGTCGCTTGGCGTCGGCCCGAGAGGGCGTGTGGAGGGCCACCGCGGGCGGGCGGGTGGTCCCTGCGCCCCGTGGGAGTGGGTCTGGGGCGGGAGATAGACAGATCCACGGCCCACACTTTTCGTGCCGTCACTTTGTACCGAATTTTCTGTCGGGGGGGGGGTCACACCGAGGCCAAAGGTCACCGTGTCGCCTGGCCTAGAGGAGATGAGAGCCGTTGGAGCGCCGGCGTGGGCTTGGTTACCCTGGTAACAAGAACACGCCCCCAGGTGACTTCCTGTTACCAGTGGGCTCCCTGTGTGGAAGTGGGTTTGAAAGGGAGGGCCCAGACTCGTGGGGTGATGGCAGTGGCGGGGAACAAGCTGATACCCCTTGCCGGACGAGGTCCCGCCATCCGTTAGCTTTTGGCCACCCAGCGGGCCAGATGGGCCTCACAGCTCCTCCGGTCTGGGACCTGCCTTCTGCTCCTTTCTTCAGGTGTGCGTGCGTGCGTGCGCGGGGTAAACGGCAGGCTGCGCGGTGTCCAGCGGCCCACCTCGCTCTCGGTGTCCCCCCTGCGTGCTCTTCTGCTGCTGCTGACGAGGAGGTAGTGAGTGGCAGCCTCTCCCTGTTCCTAACTGAGTTACAGCCCGTGTGTTTATGTACTTATCGATTGATTTGCTGCTGCTGCTGCGCGTGGTCTTCTGCCATGACGCAGGAATAACGCATGAGGAGAAGGAGGAGAGGTGACACCGCCTGGATTCCTTCCGGTTCCTGGGCTTCTGTCTCCCTGTGTCGGAGTGCAGCGGCGCCAAATCACATGGCAGACCGTGCAGGACCTACACTATCCACACATATCCACGGATATGCGTTTGCTGTTAAGGAAACCTGAGGACCTCAGCATCTTTTCTCTATTTCTGTCGCTGCGCGTCAGAGTTTGTAAAAATGTTTTCTTTTTATTGTCAATATGGCTTCCTGGCCAGCCTTGCTGCTTTGCTCTGAGGGGTTTGTGTCCCTTCCGTGGAGGAGACGGCTGGGATGTTGCGAATCGCCAGCAGGGTCTTTAGGTCTGGGGGCCGAGCTAGGACTGTGCAGTGTAGTGTGGCGGCTGGTCCACACTGAATTTCCTTTCCTCACGACTTCCAGAGCCGCCTTGGCCTGCTTAAAGCAGTTCGCGTTCCCGATGCAGAAAGAGCAGGGGCTGTTTCGCCCAGCGCTTAACCGTGGGGGGCGACAGCGGGGGGGGGGTCTGTCTGCTCCCCTCTTTCTTGGTGTTCTCACCTGTGACCCCGACGCCGGAGAGCCGCCTTGTGCAACTGCACTCCGCGCAGAAGTGAAAACGGAAAGTCCTGCCTCTGCTGTTACAAGTTGTTAACTCCCTCGGCAGTCATTAACTCATTTCAAGTCCAATAACAGTGTGGGAGGTAAATTAGCAAACCGTTAACAGTGTTATAAACACACAATTAGCATGCCGACATTTATATGACACATTGATGGGGCGGCAGTAATTTCCACTTGGGAGTTTGCAGCCCCTTTAGAACCTGTCAGGCTTCCATGTGGTTGGAGCAGGTTCCCGTGGCACAGCGACACGCTGGGTGGATTTAACGGGGCCCCAGAAATGTGAGACCGCCCCCCTTTCCAGCCCCCGAACCGTAGCTCGAGAAAAGGGGAGCTGTCAGTGCTGAAGGGTTTTTCGGAGAGCAGGGATCAAGGCAGAGGGGAGCTGGCAAAACGGGCAGAGCCCGTCTACGGATTACCGCAAACGCCTGGGAAGTCGTCCTTCTGCAATCGTAGGAACTTGTATGAAACTCGTCGCCTTGGGGCTTGAAACGCGTGTCCTGGGGGGGTCGGAAATCCAGGCCGGAGCTTAAGCGGGCAGAACGGGCTGTCCATCGCTGTCACCGGGGTGTGAAGGACACTAAGGCACAATGAGGCGAGGGGGACATGTCGGAGAAACCTCAATTTCCCATTTCTGGCTTTGCAGAGATCGGTTGTTATAGAGCTAACCGAGTTGTGGTGGCCAGGTATCCGGTTGTTATACTTCTGCTTTCATTATTCGTTTTGCACATTTCCAGAGTAGAGCCTTTACTTATGCATTTCTCTTGGGTTTCCAACACAACACGTAAAGCCACAGAACTTAGCCCAACTGAACAATAGCGTGTTTTAATATCGCTCAAAGCTAAAAGCCGTGCTTTGAGGTGGGGG